ATTATTTTATTGTAGGTATAATATTGCATGTTAAGTGGTGGAACTTGTTATGTTTCCCCATTTCTGGTGACCATCTTGAACTGCAAGGGTCCATTCATATCTAATCGGCTTGACCTGTTCATGGACGTTAGCTGACATCTTCATAGTTTGCTGCAGCCTGCGGAATGAATGTGGATTGATGTGAAGGCAGATAATCCAGCAGTCCCACAGTCTTTGTGTCAATCTCACTTTCGTGGTCGTCAGTCACTCACGGTGTATGTTTCTAATGTACTTTTTGTATGTCACTTGTTAGAGATGGGAGAGTGGGGTCTGGCCTGTATGATTTCAACTGCTGAAAATCTTTCAGTTGTCTTTACTCTTCACTCTACCTCAAGATAATATTTTTTTCAAGCCCATCTAAACCCAAGAACGAAAATATAATATATTGCAGCTTACCAGTCCTAAGATGCCTGTATAGTGACTACATTTGTTTTTCTTTTCTTTTTTTCCTTTTATTTCACCTGGTGATCCTGCCAATGACACACTTCCTGTCCCAGGGTGACAACACTCGCTCACTGTATTGCACTTGTAGTGGGGCAGCACTGTTATTCTAGGACAGAACTACAGAGCAGAACATATGTTTTGTGGTCCATTAACAAAACTGGGAACAATGCTGATATCCACACGGATGGCTATCGGCTCACAAATTTCTGGCAGGATCAACAGGCATTTTATGTTGATGGAATGGAATAGATGCAACAAAATGCTGTCAAGGGTATATTTAAAGAATAACTCCAGGAAAACGTTTTCGTAATCCTTGCCGTCGGACTATCCCTGCACTGTAAGGGTTAACTGCTTGTTTTTCTCTAGGTGCTAAAATAACAAAGTGATACTCACCCGAAGCTCCGGTAGTAGCCCCACTGCAAGGGATAATACATTTTTTTCTGGTGTTCTTCTTTAACAGACCTAAATGGAGCAAATATGAGTTCATTGTTTTGGATTTACATACACATAAAAGAGGGCCACCTTGCGGTGTTTATTATACATGTCCATTTGTTTCTGTTAATGTTTTATGTGTTTCCAGCTTTATGTTTTTGCATATTCATCTCTCACCTTTGTACACTAATGCTATACCAGACACGTAGCCCCGAGGACATTTGCCTTTTACAGGCACACATTCTTTTCTCATCTCTTTTGCTCTTTTTGACGCTGGAAATGTGATTTTTATTGTGACACTTGTTCATATTTTGTGTTTGCCGGATTTGAATTCCTTAAAGGTTAAGTTTACCTTTTGCATACTGTTTGGGGTATAATATGAAACAAAGTAGTATATATGACCCCCCCAAAAACACGTACACTATATTGCCAAAAGTATTGGAGCATCCCTCCAAATCATTGGATTTAGGTGTTCCAATCACCTCCATGGCCACAAGTGTATAAGATCAAGCACCTCGGCATGCAGACGCTTGTACAAACATTTGTGGAAGAATGGGTCGCTCTCAGGAGCTCAGTGAATTCAAGCGTGGTACCGTGATAGGTTGCCACCTGTGCAATAAGTTCATCCGTGAAATTTTAATTGCTACTAAATATTCCACGGTCATCTGTTAGTGGTATTATAACAAAGTGGAAGCAACTGGGAACAACAGCAACTCAGCAACAAAGTGGTAGGCCACGTAACATGACAGTGCGGGATCAGCGCATGCTAAAGCACACAGTGCGCAGAAGTCGCCAACTGTCTGCAGAGTCAATAGCTACAGACCCCCAAACTCCATGTGGCCTTCAGATTGGCACAACTGGGCGTAGAGAGCTTCATGGAATGGGTTTCCATGGCTGAGCAGCGGCATCCAAGCCTTACATCACCAAGTGCAATGAAAAGCATTGGTTGCAGTGGTGTAAAGCACGCCGCCACAGAACTCTAGAGAAGTGGAGACGTGTTCTCTGGAGTGACGAATCACACTTCTCTGTCTTGCAATCCGATGGACATGTTTGGGGGTTGCCAGGAGAATGGTACTTGCCCAACTGCATTGTGGTTTATGATTATGGTGTGGGGTTGCTTTTCAGGGGTTGGGCTTGGCTTAGTTCCAGTGAAGGGAACTCTTAAGGCATCAGCATACCAAGACATTTTGGACAATTTCATGCTACCAAACTTTGTGGGAACAGTTTGGGGATGGCCCCTTCCTGTTCCAACATGACTGCGCACCAGTGCACAAAGCAAGGTCCATAATGACATGGATGAGCCAGTTTGGGGGGGAGGAACTTCACTGGCCTGCACAGAGTCCTGACCTCAACCCGATAGAACACATTTGGGAGGAATTAGAGCGGAGACTGCGAGCCCGGCCTTCTCGCCCAACATCAGTACCTGACCTCTCAAATGCGATTCTGGAAGAATGATCCAATATTCCCATAGACACACTCCTAAACCTTGTGGATACCTTCCCAGAAGAATTGAAGCTGTTATAGCTGCAAAGGGCGGGCCAACTCAATATTGAACCCTATGGACTAAGACTGGGATGCCATTAAAGTGCATGTGCGTCCCAATACTTTTGGCAATATAGTGTAGCAGTTGTACCTTTACCAGAATCGCAGGGCGCTTCTTCTGCTTCCATTGTTCTTAAAATTAGCACAACTGTGCGTGTCCGTCCGCACAGCCAAGTCATTGATGTCCAGGAATGATTGTGTGTTGGGACTATCATTTCCATCTCGACAGATGCAAAAACCTGTGAATGCAAAAATGTAGTAATTGCACTTTAATTGTGGCGAGTGAATTTCTGAAATTTTTGGTAAAAGTGGAATATGTCTTTAATTTTAGATAGTTGATATGTGCAGAAAGACTATGAATGATTTTTTTTTATTCTTTTCACTTCTACCAAAAATTATAAAAAATTTGATAGTGACAGAAGCTTTAATATCATGCTGACAAATTTGGAAGAGGAACACCATGGAAAAGTGTTCTTAACCCTTACAGTGGGGCTCATTTATGTCTAGGTACTCACCTGAACCGCTGAACTACCTGTCTGCTTTTCCGGTCACTGAAGCCTCTCTCCTCTTACGCATCAGCATTGGAATGTTCCTCAATGTCCCCACGCTGTACACACATTTACGGGACCTTGGGCCACTGCAGAGGAGGGGGAGAGAGGCCGGAAGGACCGGTCTAAGACCAAGCTGGCTTGGGGGATAGTGTCAGTATAATTTTTTTTTAACCTAGACAAAAACAAGCAGTTAATCCTTGCGGTGCGGGGGTTGCCCTGCAGCTAGGGTTAATAAAAATTCTGCCTGGAATTCTGCTTTAAGAACACCATACAGGATATAGTCATCATCGGCATTTCTCAACCAGGGCGCCAGGAGGCTGGTGTGCCTCCTGGCCTCCTCAAGGGTGCCTCAAAATTTTGTGGTGGTGGGACTGTGATGTGAAGGGGAGAATGAAGACCGAGGTGAAGTGTGCTCCTGATGTAAAATGGGATCTCTGATGTGGAAGGGGGGATTCTTGTGTGAAAGGAGGCTACTGATTCAAAGGGAGGGAAATCAACTGATTCAAAGGGAGATTTAAAGGGGGTACCCACTTTTGTTTGGTGTTTTTGTGTGGGGTCTCCCTTTAAAATCTGACATTTTAGACTGCGGTGCCTCACACTTTTGTATACTTTTTAAGGGGTGCCATGACTACAAAAAACGTTGAGCAACCTCGGTCTAGGTATAGTTTGGTTGATAGATCTGAAGGAGATTGTACAGATCATAGCGCGTGGTAAGCGTAGTGGTGGCCATATACATAGCAATTGGTAATCAAGCTCAGTACCAGCAATTGCAAAGTGATTCATCTTGGATTGAAATATTGAATCTTACAGAACTCACTGTTTTGTTCCCCACTCTGAGGTTGACTGGAAATATTGATCAATTTGTGGAAAATGTGACGTCTGAAAACATGAGTAAAAGCAAAGCAAACTTTCTGTGGAATCTAGTGGCCATCTTCTTTCCACCTCCTTAATTGTGCTGTGTACTTAAAACTAGGGATGCACCGATATATCGGCCGCCGAAACCTATCGGCCGAAAATTTCACTTTTGGCGTAATGCCGAAAGTGCCATTTTCCTGCCGATACAGCGGCGCATCCATTCTTTTTCTCCTCCCCGCTGGGCGCTGCTCTGTGTCCCAGCGGGGAGGAGATAAACGGACAGACAACCGAGCGCTGCGGGAGGAGAGTGTTGTGAGCGGCCGGCGTCTCCTCCCACACAGCTCAGCCTCCTATCACAGTCCGGCAGAGCGGTGTGTGGGCGGAGACAGGCCGCACTTTCACAGGAGGCTGAGCTCTCCTCCCTGCATCACTCGCTCAGCCTCCTGTGACAGCGTGTCAGTGATCGCTGAGTGTTTGTAGATAATTGAGGACATGGTATGTGTACTATATCCTCAATTATGAATGAATGGGAAGTGATCTAAATCACCTCCTGTTCATTCATAGTTGTAGCTATAGTAAACACACACTGTCCTCATGTTATCAGTGAACAGGAACACTCATAGAGGATTCCTGTTCATTGATAACAGGGGACACAGAAAAAGAGATAGAAAGAGATTGAGGACACAAAGTCCTCCTATTTTAAAAGGGAAATATCAGGGGTCTCTTTAGACCCCTAATATTTCCCTGAAGCCCCTAAAAGTAAAGTAAAAAATAAAAATATGTAATACAAAATAAATATAAATATTAAATAAAAAAGTATAAAAAAAAATAAAATATTGAAAAAATGTAAATAAAACAACATTTTTGGTATCGGTTTCGGCCTGACAATTTTTTTTTGTTTCGATTTTAAAATTTTAATTTCAGTGCACTTCTACTTAACACATTGGGTGATAGGCTGAACATCAGTATACCCCAGTCATAGAACTAGTATCCTAATTTTCTGTCCTATCCTGTTCCACAAACACACCCATATTTTTTACATCACACCCTGTTTTGGTTTAGCTATCAGAGCAACTGAGAGGTATGGTATGTAGGTTGAATACAGTTGTTGAATTTGTTTTTGTTTTTTCCCTTAAGTTTGCAGGTCGATGGCCTCCAAAACACCGATTGGGTTCATTGGACTTGGAAATATGGGAAATCCAATGGCAAAAAATCTTGTGAAACATGGGTATCCTGTTATTGCATATGATGTGTTTCCAGAGGCCTGTAAAGAATTTCTGGATACTGGCGCCCAGGTATGCGTAGTAAGTGTATCGCATGCTTTTATCTCCTTATGCATGAATTGGAATATAAACTCACTGCAATAGATATATATTTTAGTTTTCAAAATACAAAATGAGAAGTTTGTGTATATATTTATAGGTTGTTGGTAAAAGCTGCACTGATATATGGGACTACTATAGATAAAAGAAAACCTGCCAGGAGAACAGGCAAACATCTAATGATCTGGAGGGTATATAATGTAACAGAGAAATACTGTGCTGGAACAGTGTCTTACTTCAGGGCAGCTATTAAAGGAGAACTATGGGGTCAGGGCTTTTCCCCATAGTTCTCCTAAGGGTCACAGGAGAACACAAACTAGCGTCCTCCCGTGACCCAAAGCTCAGTATACCCCGAGCTACAGCTCGGGGTATACTGAGACGCCGCAGCCGAGAAGGATCCCGACATTAACTGTTTGGATCCAATACCAATTGCGTGAGTGACAGCTGGCTCTGCCTGCCACTCCCCAGTCCATTCCGCCAGTCAGTGCTGGAGGATCGGACAGGGGAGGGGGGGAATCCCTGCAGGGAGCCGTGAGTGACATTCTGGGCTCTCTCCAGGGATAGATCGAGAAGTGAGCGAGCGACGATATGTGTTCGCTCACTTCCCGATCTACTGAGCCGACCTGTGACAGTTTCATTGTCACAGGTTGGCTCAGATTATGAGCCTGAGTGAAAATCACTCGCCTCATAATTCTCCTTTTAAACAATGAGAACAAGGTCATGATGCCTACTGTTTAATTGGTGTCATATTTGATCAGTCTTTAAGTACTCAAATAAACAGCATCTGAAGCATCCTATAATGTAAAATTACTTGGAGACACTATCACTAAGTTAAATATATACATGACAAGCACACATTTTACTCTCCTCACTTTGAGGAACCGACAAAGACTTGAGGTAGGTGAGTTCTCCTTTTTTTTTAATTTTATTTTTTAGGTATAGCATCACATATTAGTGCACTTTGGGTATCGGGGGACATGAAGGTACTTTCATTTCATGCAACACGCTACTTTTTTATTAAGGTAGGAAACTCGGAATTGAAATCTGGAAGTTGCAGTTTGTGAATATGCTTGCTTGTGGTTTCTCTCCTAACCTGTTCTTCACTGCTTTTGTATTCGCAAATTGGAACAAGCATGTATGTCAGTGGTTCCAACATTCACCCCTCCAGTGCTGGCAAAACCCAACCCTCAATATTTAAACACTTGAGTGCTGGCACTCCAACCCACATTTCCGTGGCTGGGGTGCACAAGACCTATTAGCAGGACAGGACCTGTCTTCTGGTAGGTAGGAGGTCTGCATATGTGCTGACAGTTTATGCTGTGAGGTGAGTAGCTGTCCATTTAGAGATTTTGGTAGTTGTGGTTTTGTATACCAGACAGGTTGTGCACTGTCTTTTGAGACTATAATTATATTAGGATTTATAGCTTTCTGCTTTCCCTGTTGTCCAAACTATAATATTACCATTAATAGATTCAATTACAAAATGTTTAGTATCAGAGTTTACTTTTATTCATATTTAAAAGTATATTTTGTCCATAGAGGCGATATAAAAAAGGAAGTGTAGGTTTGGTGAACCTTTTGGAAAAGCAGTTTGGTATGATCTTGAATTATCAATCTACTGGAGGCATGGGCAATTTTTTAAAAATGATAATACATTTGTTTACAAGAGTAGAGATTGATAGTGTTTCTGCTGTACAAATGTTATAGAAAAACCTTAGATTAGAAAAAAAACTTGGGCCCAGTGCTTTCACAGAGTAGTAGGGAGAGTCCCTAGTCCTGTGCAAGCTCTGACTGGAGCGACTCAGAGCTTACACAGGGCTGTCTTTCTTCAAGAGGGTAATGGAGGGGTAAGTTTTGATTTGAATTTGCTACTTTGCTCTGAATTGCGACAGCACAGTTTCACTCTAATGTTTTGCAAAAATTGAAGTCTGAAACTTGACTATAAAAATCACGTTAAAAAACAAAAAATCACACGAAAAGAAAATTTTATTCATTTTTAAAAGCAATTATTTGGAAAACCAGAAGCTCATAATTACTTGCATTGAATAAAACATCCGCTACCCTATGAATTTTATTTATTATTTACTTATGGGTTGCTGTAATGGATTCGGCCACTCATTAGCTACTTGTATCTGTAGGAAGATTGATGGAATCAGATATTCCATCAATGAGACTCCTACTTGGTGTCCTTGAGTTTGTTTTTCTGTCAGTCTCTTAAGTTAGGACATAAATGTTAGGGGTGGTTGGACATTCAGGCACAATCCGATTGCCCTGAGTCATCTTTGATTGTCTTCTTGGTGCAGCTTATAGAGAGAGACGTATCTGTATCACTGTCATTTTTTCTGGGGGGGGGGGCCTGTAGCAACTGAGCCAGATTTTCTAGCTTGTTGGATTGTTGAGCTTCATCTGCTGGCACCTTAGATAGTCTACAGGTCATCACAAGGCTGGGAGATTATAATATAATGTCTGTTGGTACCTTTACTGTTCTTAATAAATGAAAACTCCTGCAGGGGTAGTAAGGGCTGGCATAATGGTCATAGAAGGAGAGCAGTTATTCAAGTGCAATAATCTAGTTGCTAGTTGAAAAATCTAAGAGGCCCATGGGTGATCAAGGCCACTAGTATCTATCCAGAATTGAAGTATCCATTTTGGTGGACCTTGGTGAAACTTGAAGCCATTTAATCATCCACGTTTCACCATGTTGCCAATTAATTGCCCTGTGGCTTGAACTAATTCTACAGCGTAACTGACAACCATATAGGTGAAGTCAGATGATAGTTTATTTTTAGGGTACTTTTACGTTGCATGTCTAGGAGTATTACAAATATGTGGATTTTTATTGCTGAGCTCCAGTAAACAACTAAATAATACAGTTTAAACACATATGAGAGCTGTCTTTTCTGGCACAGTATATATTTCTGTTGAGCAAGTCCTCTGATTTCCACAGCCCTGACAGACAGCTCAGCCAGATTGGTGACCTAATTTTTCTCTACTGCACTTGAGCAATACAGCGAGGTCTTCTCCCATGCCCCCACCCTGTGAATGGACAGTGGGGAAGCAGCACAATAAGCTCATTAATCTGCTCACTTTCCTAAGTCAGATTCAGGTGCCACACTTCACTAGCTGCAAGTAAAAATAAATTTGGTTATTTTGCTTTAAATTAGTATTAAACTCAAGCTTGTTCTACAATGAATGCAGGTCAAACACATATACATTGTCCAGCAAATATTCTTCATATTTTTGCCTAAGCACTTACTGTCATCATGTTTCCGGCTCAGCTCCCTGAACTTACTGTCTAGTACAAGATGACAAGGAACAGAATAGTCTCCAACAGCCATCCATATACTACCTTGGAGAAGGGAGGAGGAAGGAAGGGGGGAGCAGGGGAGTGGTTTGCCTTGCTGTGTTTGTGTAGACACACACAGCTTACTAGCACACACAAAGGTGGCTACATAGGACCCTGCAAGCGAAAGGAGCCACCCTAAAACAGGGACCAGTGCTCAGGGGACCAGCTGATTCTACAGAAACTAAAACTTTTAAACATCAAGAAGTAGCATCCATTGTAAGGAGTTTAATCAGCATTTGAAGTCGTTTAAAAACCTTTTGACTTTAATATCACTTTAAATATATTGCTGCACTGTTTTTTTTTTTTTTTATATCTGCCTATAGTTCAACTTCTAAATTTTCCAGTAGTATGTCACTGCTGTATTGTGGTATGGGGTGATTTTCCTGTTCCTTGTGATAGGATCACAGAACCCTCCAGTAAAGTTTTTTTCACTTACCTCATACTTCTAGCCGACCTGTGACAATGAGACTGTCACAGGTGGACTCAGTAGATCGGGAAGTGAGCGAACACATACCGGCGTTCGCTCACCTCTCGATCCTGTCACAGCTCTCTGCCGTGACAGGGGAGGGGCTGGATTCCCCCCTCCCCGCTCCGATCCTCCAGCGCTGACTGGCGGAACGGGAGGGGTCGGTACAGCTGGCTCTGCCTCTAGATAGGCAGAGCCAGCTGTCACTCACACAGCTGGGCGGATCCAGACATAATTGTCGGGATCCGCTTCAGCTGTGGCGTCTCAGTATACCGCGTGCTGCAGCTCGCGGTATACTGAGCTTAGGGTGACGGGAGGGCGCTAGTTTGTGTCCTCCTGTTACCCTGAGGAGAACTATGGGTAAAAGCCCTAACCCCACTGCTCTCCTTTTTAAGTTTTAGTTAGTGTTCCATTTCAGGAAACACTCTGCTTGTAGCTTTGATTTAAAGCTGTTCTGAGCTAAGGGAGAATAGGTTGTCTCCCTGACTGATTTTCTTTTTTTTTTCTTTTTTTTTATTCCAATGTCGAAAACGTCCACATGACTTACCCCTGAAAAACCCAAGAATTCTTTAATTTTATAACACATCTGACACCTGTCTTTTCTGAATATGTGTTCTTTGCTTATGACGTAACCCATCCCAAAAATAGGTCCTGGAAATTTTATTGCAGGTCTCCACCTGCTTATTGGGGCCATCTGCCCCATAAGTCTGGAACACGGTGGATGTATTCCAACAGACCTAATTAGCAAGTAAGGATCTCTCCCTCTCTTTCACTGGGCGTTGTGGTGGTAGACAGCAATGTTCCTTTTCAATCCAGGCAGAAAGGAACTCCCTGCTGAGCTTTTGAAGGGTACTAGGCATTCTTGTTACTGCGGACCGTGACTTCTACACAGTTACTTACTTGGCATAAAAGTGTGAAGGCATTGCCATCCTTTTCCCCACAATAAAGTGTTTTCCAGGGCTCTCTTTTTACAAGTGCATACCTATTATTTTATGATGGGAGTGCCCATGCTTTAAAGAAAAGGAAAATGCACTATTTTTTTTTTTTTGTCTTATACGCTGCAAAGATTTAAAGCTATAATTTCTTGTCATTTCATGTTGGATGTTTGATCTCCAACTTTATAAACAGTCTACTTGAAACTCATGATGTATTATATTTAAA